ATAATGCGATCTTCCATCCATTCATTCATTCACCCATCCATCCACTCATTCATTCAATGGCCTCAGACTCCATTCTTTCCTTTGCTCAATCTCTGACCGCCGCGGCTCGCGCCACATGTGGATGGAGGGAGAGAGAGAGAGAGAGCGAGAGACAGAGAGAGCGAGTGATGTCCCCCCCCCGCTCTTCCACTTCCTCAAAATGTCTGGTCCTCAGCCTGCAGCATCATTCACCATCCTTCCTCATTGCCATCCCTGCAATAAAAAAAGCAACAACAATGACGGAATAGCAGTGGGCACAACAGGAACAACAACAGAACGTCCCACAACCTACGATAATGATGATGCTGGATGATGGTATAGATGGCGGCGTCGATGCTGGAGCAGATGTTGACGAACGTGCTGATGACCGACGTATGGGGGTTCTTGTTGAACTCGGCGTGAGGGATGGAGAGAGAGAGAGAGAGAAAGAAAGAAAGAAAGAGAGAAAAATAAAGAGACAAGGAGAGGGATACAGAGAGATACAAATAGAGAGAGAGGGAGACAGAAAGAGAGAAAGAGAGAGAGAGAGAGAAAGAACGAACACCCAGTAACATGATAATAACAAGAAAAGAGGCAAACAATAAAAATAAGAGTGAACAACAACGAACAAAACAGCCGCGGCGCGAGAAAGCAGCGCACGTCACATAATCTTAAAAGTCCCCCCCCTTCCGGGTCACCCCCCGTGGTCCCAGCGGGTCCCCGGGGGTAGTCCCGCGGGGTGGCCCCTGGCCTTCAGAACAGTCGGCGGCACCGGCCGTAAGGTCTGCTCAAGACGTATCAAGGAGTGGTCGGAATATATTCCCCATCGCCGCTCCCCCATCCATCTCTCCCTCTTTCTCTGCCACCCTCTTTGCCGTTGCTGTCGCTACTGCTGTTGCTGCTGTGGTTGGTGTTGTGGGTATTGTTATTGTTGGTGGAATTGTTGCTGTTGCGGGTCTTGTTGGTGGTGTTGCTGTTGATGTTGCTGTGTTTGTTGTTGATGTAGAGTTGATGGTGTGTTTGTTGTTTTCGGTGGTTCCTCTCTCTCTCTCTCTCTCTCTCTCTCTCTCTCTCTCTCTCTCTCTTTCTCGCTCATTCTACCAGTATACGTCCCACAACGACGTCTACATGATATGTTTATGTTTCTCTCTCCCCCTCTCTCTCGCTCTCTCTCTCTCTCTCTCTCTCTCTCTCTCTCTCTCCCTCGCACACGCACACCCAATCTCTTCCTACATGTAATGGGTGCCGGTCTCCACACTGGGGAAACGAACTGCTACCTGGCAAGGCCCACCGGCATCAAGGGAGCAGGAACGACTCATCTACAGAACGGCTAAATTCGTCTAGAGGAAGCTAGCAATGCGTCACATGCTAAGGCCCTGCAGAACCCAAAGACAATGACTGTGACTGCGGCGTCTGGGGAAAAACAAGAAGTACCGACGCCGCCACTCCCCATATACCTCGGGGGGTGCATTTCGACCAGGGTTTCGATGCAAGTCCGCCAGTGGCGACGACAGCCTACCGAGAAAGGTAGTGCTGTCGATACAGCTATCTCCTCCGATGCTGCGGCCATCCAGGGCCGAAGGACAATGACTGTGACTGCGACTGATATGTGTCAGTCGCCCCACTTCCCGCTGCGCTGGCACGGAGACGGTGCAAGCCGCAGGCTCCTGGATATCGGCACCGAGCCCACTTCACCTGGGCGCTGTCCAGGTGCGCGAGGAGCGGTCGCAGCCTTCGCAGCAAAGGTCGTGCCTGTCAATGCACTGGCAGTACCCTGCCACAGAAATGGAAGAGAAACTCCAAGCGGATCCCATGTAAAAGCCACCTGGGACCCCTGGCGTGACTTGCAGCGTACCTTCGGCTCCTCCCCCGCAGCTGGAACCGATGCCCTCGAAAACCTCGGCCGCCGGCCGCGGCAACGACCGCGGCCCTGCAAGGCCGGAGTGAAAAGCCACCTGCGCGCAATCGAGGGAGTGATTTGCCTTGGTCTGCCGCCAAATGCCACAAAAACCATGAACCTGCCATGGAAGATACACAAACTATTGCATACACATACCCATCGGTCGGGAGGAGTAGGTAGGACACATGAAATAGGAAGGAACTGAAAATCATTTGTTTCCGCCCGCCCCCTAAAGAGGACGGAAAATGTGAAGCCGCTAGATCATTAAAGTAGGAAGGCGTTTAAGTCGATTGGAATCTGGAAATCAAAACAGACTTACTTTCGACGACCGATAGATACATGTTTGGAGGACCGCGCGGACATCCTGAACCTGCGCTGACCCCCCCCTCCCTGGCGAGAGAACCGCGCAAGGGGCGGCAATTGAGGCGCCGGCCGGTGGGCCCAGCACCGATCAAAAAAATCCGCGCTGAACACCGAAAATTTAGGTCTATGCCGTGACTTCTTCGACACGACCGTGACCCTGCCAGACAACCGCCGACAGGAGCGCCTCCGCGCCCGTGAGCTGGAGGCGCGGGCCCGATGAATATACACCACCACCACCACCACCACCTCAACTCCTCATCCCTCCTCTGCCCTCCTCTTTCCTGGAAGAAGAAGGGGGTGGGTGGGGAGGGGCGGTGCACAATCGGACCCAGGCCAGAAGAGCATCCTCCAAGGACGTGAGAACCTTCGCCAGCCAAAAAAACACGCATAATATCCAAGGGTACCCTCCCCAGCATACACAAGAACGTCCAACAAGCACAAAGAACACCAGGGTACCCTCCCCGAATCGGCCTCGATCTTATAGCTTGGTCCGACTGTAGCCTGGGAGGGGAATGGGGAGGGGGGAGGTGGTGGTGGTGTAGATCTTTCCGCCTGCGCGGAAACCCCGCCGCCACACCCAACGCGACCCCCCTTTTTCTGGTGGCAACTCATGGCAGCCTCCCATACCATCTTGTCGGCTCTTGCGAATCGACGCTAATCGACGCTAGATCGACGCTATTCGATGCACAAGGCTCCTATGATTTGCTACTCGACCCCGGAGGAGGAGGAGGAGGAGGAGGAGGGGGAGGAGGAGAAGGAGGAGGAGGAGGAGGAGGAGGAGGAGGAGCCCCCCCCCCCGCGCCACCGTGGCGCGCTCTTCGAGGGCGAGGCGCGCGCGCGCGGCGGCCGCGAGCCCGCGGCAGGCCGTCACCGTCGGGAAGCGCCCAGATGCCAAGGGGCCCACGCGAGGAGCCCGAAGGTCGGGCAAGATTGGCACCCATGTACGTACACTGCATCATGTCGCTTCGGGCTCCCTCCCCCAGGAGCCAGAGAGCAGAGGCGCAGCGGGTGTGGACGAGCATCCGGCCCCTGGAGGCTAAACTTTTGTCACTCTCCACTGGCCTCGGCCTCTGGGCGCCCCTTCCCAGGAAGCTGATGGCGGAGTTCGGGCGAGTGGCGCTGGGGGGGTGCTGAAAAAGAGACCACCAGGTCCCCGTGTGGAGCCAGCAAAAGGCCTTTGGGGGCATTCGAGGGCCCCTTGAGGGCCCCCCTGTCTTGGCACCCCCATTAAGTCAACCCCAGATGCCTCGCCATCGCTCGGACGTCCATTCCCCGTGTTTTTTTCGGTTTCGTGCGTGGTTTTTTCGCCAAATGATCAAGGATGCTCCTCGATGGCCCTCGCCGAAGGAAAAATGCACACGTCCGAGCGATGCCAGGATGCTGCGCGCGCACGATGAGCGCCTCCGGCATGGGCGCGCCGCCCGTTCTTGGCCAGCGACAGGGCAGAGTGCGCGGACGTGGCGGCGGCAGCTGCCGCTGAGCCCATGGCTACGGACATGCGGCACGGGCTGCCCACGCCAGGCGGGGGACCGGGGCGGTGGAGGGGAGCTTAGTGGGCCCTGGAAACGACAGGGAGGGGAGGTTGCGCTCGCGCGCGCCTATTTCAGCCACATCTCACGGGGGCCACGCACAACACTGGTGCCGAGGGGAGGAGGAAGCAGACCGAAGGGGTCCCGAGGTCTCGACCCCTTGCCTCGGGACCGTTTGTTCGTTCCGAGCTGTCCTTTTGTAGCTTTGGGGCCTTGCAGGGGGCCAACAATGTTTAACACTAATTCTGCCGCATTCTTGCCTCCGCGACGCGAGGGGGGGGGGGTCGGGGCAGCGTGAAGCCTTCTCCTCCTCGTCCTCCTCCTTGTACTCCAAGAAAAACAATTGAGATTCAGTGGAAGAGGGCAGAGGGCGAAGGACGATAGCATGCAGGAGAAGAGACGAAAACGAGAAGGGAGGAGAAGTTGAGAAAGAGTGAGCGAGGAGCTGTCCGAGCAATGAAAGGAAGAAATGGCATGGATAAGGCTGGGGGAAGGCAGAAGGGGGGAAGGGGGAGGGGGGGATGACACCGTCAGGGTTCTTCGCTCGACTCGTGCGTGTCCCTCCTAAGGTTCCAGTCCCGCAAGCGTCCCGAACCTGCCACGCGCGGCTCTGGCGGGGCGCTGGGAAATGTTGACGAATCCCCCGCCCCGCCTGCTGCTGCGGTTTCTCCTCATCACGCCCCTCCTTCTCCTTGTCCCGCCCCTCCCACTCCCGCTCCTGCCGCCCCCTTTGCTCGTCCTCCTGCCCCTCCTCCTTTCCCTCGAATCCTTCTCCCCTCCTCCTTATCCTTCTCCTTCACCTTACCCTTCTCCTTCTCCTTATCCTTATAATTAACTATCCTCCTCCTCCTCCTCCTCCTCCTCCTCCTCCTCCTTTTCCTCCGCCTCCTTCTCCCCCGCCTCCTCCTCCTCCTCCTCCTCCTCCTCCGCCTCCTCCTCCTCCTCCTCTTTCTCCTCCTCCTCCCTCCTCCTCACCATCGCTGCCCTCCTCCTCGACCGCAAGAACCGTGGCGGAATCGATCGCAGACGCACGCCCGACGCGCACCGTGAATTCGTAGCCGACCGACCGGATGCACTAGGGCAACACGAGGACCCAAGGTACAGCATCACGACGTTTTGCCCACATTGCCCTCCTCGCCCTCGTTTCCCGGTGATCCTCGCTCGCCTCACCCTTCTCCCCCTCCGGCGGGTCCTCGCCCCACATCAACAGCGTCTCCGAACGCCCCTCGCCAGCCTGATCGGCCAGGGGGGGAGAGAGCCACGCACCACGCCGGCACCCCGTCCTCCCCGTCCCCTTGCGCGTCCCCTTCCGTCCTCCTCATACCCTTCGCACCCCATCCAGGAAGAATGAGGAGCATGAGGAGTACGAGCAGGAGCATGAGCATTATGACCAGGCGGCAAACGAGCCTTTCTCCCAACGCAACAACGCGTTTCATTATTTTCGGCGAAAGCGGGCATCATACGGGGGGGGTATAACGGAGCGCCCCGACCCCCCGCCGTACGGCTCCGGCACAGCAGCCGCGCCCGCGCGCACGACGACAATGAGCGACGAGCGACGACGACGACGAAGACGCCGACGCCGACGCCGACGCCGACGCCGACGCCGACGCCGACGCCGACGCCAACGCCGACGACGCCGACGCCGGCATCGACGTCGACGACGACGACGACGAGGGGGAAGGGAAAATTGTAGCACTTCCGCGTGAACCGCGTCGCCTGCGCGCGCGAGCAACGACCAGGGGCCATGACCCACGACCAATTCAGCACCATTTGCGTGCACCGCACTGCCTGCGCGCACCACAAGGCCTGCGTGCACCTCTGGGACCCTATGGGGTCCCGACGGGACCAATTTCCAAAAACCGTGGGGGCGGCCGATGTTATCAAAGTCGATATGCGCATTGATTGTGATTCGTGTGTTTTCTTGCTCTGAATGCACCCCTGCACGTTGAGCCCACGGCGCCCGTGCACGCCATGGCCACCGCGCGCACCGCAGCGCCCATGAACAAATATGGCATGGAATGGGGAGGAATGGAGAGGGCAGGCAACGGCAGCCTCTCTGCTTGCACCACAGCGCGCGCGCGCGAGCCACGACCAAGGGCCACGCTCCACCATCATTTCAGCACCATCTGCGTGCATCACAATACCTGCGCGCACCACAAGGCCGCAGCGGGTCCCGAGGAGGAGGAGGAGGAGAACAGGAGATCAGGAGCGTGGGGACACCGTCCGTTTGGCGAACAGCCGAACGACGCCTCGCCGTTCTGCGGCCTGAGCCGCAGCCTCGGGTGGGCCGCGCCGCGCCGCCGCCGCGCCGCAGCCGCTGGTGGGCCGCGCCGCAGCCGCGGGTGCCTCCGCCAAGCCCTCCTCGCCGCAGAGCCGGGGCGAGGGGCTCGGCGGTGGCGGCGAGGAGGACTGCAGGACGGGCCCAGCCTCCTCCTCCTCGCTGCTGGGCCCAAAGACGTCCACGGGCGACACAGCCGCTGAGCCAGCGGCGCCAGGCTGGCCGGCGGCCTCCTCCCCCACGGGGTCGCCGTCGCGCTGGCTGCTGGGCCCCGCGCCTGCGGCGGCCGCACCAGCGCCCTGCGCCTGTGACCTCCTGCGCTCACCAGGCGCCCAGCCAATCCATGGCGCTCCAGGAGGGCGCCCTTGGTCGGCCAGCCACTGGCGTAGGGCCACCGCCTCGTATCTCCGCATGGGGTCGGCCACCCACGCCTTGGAGAACGACGGGCCGCGGCGGTATCGCCTGAACGCACTGCGGTTGGCCCCGCCGCACTCCCAGGCCCTGTCACACATCTCGCGGGCCAGCTGCGCCGCGGTGCGCCCCATGACGCGCACGAGCGCACGCCACCGCGGCTGGCCCAGCACGGCCTCGGCGTACGGCACGCAGTGTTGCCTCCAGTCGTCCGCCAGCTGCTCCTCGGCGAGGGTGGCCTCAATCCACCAGCGCGCCCACCTCGCGAGACTCCTTTCCGTGGCGGTGGGCCTGGGGGGCCCTCGCGGCAGCGGCTCCCTGGGCTGCCGCTTGGCCACCACCACCTCGGGCCTGCGGCTGCAAAAAGCGAAGCGCGTCGCAGGCTAGGGCTTCGGCCAGCCCTACCACAGGGGCACCACGCAACGCGCGGTGCTGGCGGCCGTGCCGCGGCTGGCCTCGCGCTCCTCAATCCGCTGCCGCAGCAGCGCGAAGCGCGCCTGCCACGGGAGGCCGCGGGGCTGCGCAGCTGCCGCGCGGGCTGCTGCAGCTGCCAGCATCCTGCTAGACTCGTACGCGTGCGCTGATGCCGACGGCTGAGGCGGCGGCGGTGGCGGCGGAAGACCAGCGCCGGGCCGCGCCTGCAGCACACCCTCGCCTCCACGTCGCACGGCGTTGTCCTCCGCCCCCGCGATGCCGTCCAGCACCTGCGGGACAGCGAGGGCCTTGGCGAGCGCCGCTCTGGGACCAGCGGTCCGCACGAAGCTAGGCCGATCTCCCGCACGGATCGACTCGCAGCCCCCGCCGTCCGACTTTGCGTCGCGCTGCCGCTGCGGCACACCACGCTGGCCGCGCGCCCAGCTGCCGCCGCCAGCGTCCTGCCAGCCTCGTACCCGTGCGCCAGTGCTGACGGCCGAGGCGGCGGCGGCGGGAGCGGGGGCCCAGCGCTAGGCCGCGCCAGCGTTTCACCCTCGCCTCCACGTCGCGCAGCATCGCCCTCAGCCCCCGAGGAGCCGTTCATCGCCTGCATCTCGCTGGGGCCGCTCCCGCAGCCCAAGTCCAGAGGACTGCACGTCTTTGGCCACCTGGGGACCCAGTCCAGAGGAATGCACGTCTCTGGCCACCTGAATCAGTAGCTGTGTGGACCGAGAGCTTGCCGCCCCCGCAGTTCGAGCCTGGCGTCGCACCCTTGGAGCGGTCGTGTGGCTGCCCCCGGGCTCGGGGGCGGGGTGGTAGGGCGAGGCGGGGGAAATGGGGAGGAGGAGCGGGAGGGCGAAAAGGAGGAGGAGGAGCTTTTCACCGGAAACAGAAAATCGAAATCTCGGATCCCTAAGCGGATCCCAGTGCGGGTCCGCATGCGGATCCCGAGGCGGATCCCTGTGCGGATCCCGATGCGAAGGCCTAGGCGGATTCCCATGCACATTGCCATGCAAATATCTATGCGGACCCTGACGCGGATCTCTATGCGATCCATAAGCGGATGCGCATGTGGATCCCTATGCGGAACCCCTCGAGATTCCCAATGCGGACCAGACTCCTGTTCGGATTCCTTCGCGGACGCCTATGGGGATCACCATGCGCACGGCGGCAATGCCCGGAGCGCACTTGGGGGGGGCGTTACGTCATAGGGGGGTCGGGGGCGAGAACGCCCGTTATGCCCCACGCAATAAGAGAAACGCTCCAAACAAATGACAAAGAAATTTCGCGCTGGACATTCTCAATTGCTATGCGATTGCGAAAATCGCGAGTCAAATCGGGTGCAACTCAGTAGCTGACCTGCGTTGGGCAAGCTCATGAGGTGAACCGTGGCTTGAGAGAGAAACCGTCGCCGGCCGCAGGCCAAAGGAAACATAACATGAGGCGCCCCGCCTGCAAGGCTACTATTCCCACCGGAATGGGTAGTGAGGTTGGCATACTCCTGCCCAAGCGGGTGAAAACACGCTGTGTAGTGAGAGCCCTATTGGAGGCCTACGCGGCGGCAACGTGAAAATACAAAACAGCATGAGAGGAGAACGGGCTGGAGGAGGAGGAGGAGGAGGACGAAGAGGGCATGAACGCTGCGTGCTTTAGCAGGAAACCCGAGCAACGTCAAAAACAAAGACGAGGAGGGAGGGGGCAGCGAGGTGGCAAGAAACAGCCGACACGCACACCAACCAGCTTGAACCCTGGCCCATGCCAGCAGTCAAGAGTACGATGAGGACCAAGAGGCGTGAGTGAGGAGGACCTGCTCCTCCTCCTCCTCCTCCTCCTCCCTCCTCCTCCTCCTCCTCCTCCTCCTCCTCCTTCACGCCTTCCTGCTCGCCCCACTGCCATGCGCGGCCTGTCGTTCATCTCGCGGGCGCGCGGCCCCCTTGCCCTGGCGTCAGGTCGGACGGTCGGGCATGTCATCCTACAGGCGGATATTGAAGAAAAATGAATAAATAGCCAACGACTACTCAAAACTAGCCAATCGTACTCATAAATGCGTCGCCAGACTGTTGTTGTTTTGGCATGTTCGAGCATGTCTCCTGTATAAGGACATGTCGGATTTCAGCCTGGCGATTGGAGCCCCCTTCCAACCCCGCCCTCGCACACTGGCAGCGGCACGGGCAGCCCCGGAAGCGAGAGCGCGAGTGGATCCGAACGGACTGGGACCGCACCGATTGCACGCAGAATCGACGCCAGGCAGCTCAGACCGCGGCCAGAAGCACACTGCACACTGCCACTCCTGCCAGCGTGTCAGCGCTGCGTCAGTCTTGGGGGAGAAAACGTCTAAACCTACACAGTTGGAGGTCCGCGCGGAGTTCTCTGATCCGCGCTGGGTCCCCTCCCTGGTGCGCGGAGCGTGCCAGGGGCCGCGCCGGAGGGGGTCCCCGTGCCGATCCAAGAAATCCGCTCGGAGCACCTAACCTTCATGTGTATACAACTAGATTTTGTCTTCGAAGTACCCTTGGGCAAAGACCGAAGGCATGGGTAGTGCCGCGCGAGCCTCTCTTGGTGTCGCGAGCGCGCCATCGAAAGGCTGCGCCGGAGGGCAAGGCACGGCAAGCCGTGCGAGGCACGCACCGCACGTGGACGGCACCTGCGGCAGCCTCCCGCGAGCCACGACCAGAGGATGGGACGGAGAGGAGGGGGGTGGGGGCGAGGGCAGGGCAGCCACTGCGAGGAGGGATCCCCTCCGGGAGAAGGGGGGTATGGCGAGGAGGGGAAAGAGGGGGGAGAAATGGGCTAAACGCTGAACGACTTAGGGTCGTGCTGGAGGAGAGCCTACACGGCGGCCTGCACGGGGGACGGGGAGGGGGCAGGAAGAGGTGGGGAGGACGACCCTGCGCCCCTCTCGGCCCTGCGGAGGCGCCCCCGCGACCCTGGCCCTCCGCGCCCCCCGGCCCTGCGCCGCGCGCCGCAGAAGCGGGCGGGCGGAGCCACGGCAGCGGCTCGCCCCCCACGAGGGGGCCGCACGCAGCAGGCAGATCCTCGTCATCCGCCTGCGCCCTTAGAACCCGCACGCGCTCTCAAGAATACAGCCAAAGCCCCCTTATATCAGACCCTACCCCCCCCCCTCCATCTGCTGCTACCCCTCCACGGGAGAACGGGAACAAAAACATGGCCACAACCTTAACCTGCGGGTGCTCCTCCTTCCACCTCCCACCTGCCACTCGGACCTCCTCCGACATCGAAGCTAAGCCTCTCTCATGCCAGCAGCCCTCTCTTCCCTCCCAACCCCCTGCGTCCCTCTCCCCGGCCCTCTACAATCCTTCCTCAGTCCTAGTGCAACCCACTGTCACGATGTGTTTCCCAAGATCCTAATCAGGATACCTCCTTCTCGTCCTCATCCGACGCCGCCTCCTGCTCGTCCCCAACGCACAAGGGAAAGGAAACAACTGGTGGTCTGATCGTCAAGCCCGCGTTCTGGCTCCTGCCACCCCTTTCCCCCCTCATCCCGCTTCAATCCCTCTCCTTTCGTATCCTACCTCCCATCCCCTCACTACACCCTTCCCCCTCACCCAGTCTCGTTCTCGCCCCTTCATATATATATATATATATATATATATATATATTCTCCTCTGCACTCGCGTGGGCTTGGAAAAGAGGGAGAAGTGGGACGAGGAGGATTGGGTATTGGGGAATGCGGGAACTGTGGGCCTCCTCCCTCCTCCCTCCTCTCCCTTTCCGCCTTTCCCTTATTTCCTTCCTCCTCCTCCTCCTCCTCCTCATTCTCCTCCTGCCCTCCTCCAGCCTCCTCAGCCTCCTCCTCCTTCCTGCTCCTCCTCCTCCTCCTCCTGCTCCTCCTCCTCCTCATCCTTCCTCCTCCTCCTCCACCTCCTCCTTTCCTCCCCCCCCCCCCTCCTCCCTCCTCCTCCTCCTCCTCCTCCTCCTCCTCCTCCTCCTCCTCCTCCTCCTCCTCCTCCTCCTCATCCTTCTTCCTTCCTCCTCCTCCACCTCCTCCTCCTCTTCCTCCACCCCCCATCCCCTCCTCCTCCTCATCCTTCCTCCTCCTCCTCCTTCTCCTCCTCCCTCCTCCTCCTCCTCCTCCTCCTGCTCCTCCTCCTCCTCCTCCTCCTCCTTTTCCTCCTCCCTCAGCCCCCTCCTCCCTCCCGGACGACGGGGAGCCTCCAGAAGCAGCCCGGCGACGCGCGCTCCGGCGGCGCCCACCTCCCGGGGAACGGGCGGGGGCAGACCCCGCACGGCCCAGCACCACGGGCCTCCGCACCCCACCAGCCAGCAAGTTAGCCTTAAGTCGGGCCTGTCCCCCTACATGGGGATTTTCGACGTAAAATAAAAAAATACTCGAAACATAACAAAACAAAACAAAAAAAAAAAATAGTCTGGGGACTATTTTGGAGGTGTTTCTTGACCTTTTTGGGGTATGTTTGGGGTAATGTATAATTTTCGTCAAAATCCCCCTGTAGGGGGACACGCCCAGACGGCAGTTCCCCGTGCGCTGTTCGGCTTTGTGCGCTTCTTTGCACACTGGTCCAGGACTCGCGCGGGGCATCGACTGCAGAATGGATGGACCCCAAAACTGAGGTCCCCGCCGAAGTGGAGGAACATGCGTAATGCCCCGTAACTCTACGAACATTATGCATGTTGAGCTTGGAGCAATCCGCATTCCGCATTATGCATTGTTCGCATATCCGCCAGGACAATCAAGCTTGGAGCAAAGAAGTCCTGCAGTCGATCCCCCATTGGAAGGCTGCTCCCCGATGGCCCTCGCGGAGAGAAGAAAGGCAAACGTCCGAGCGATGCCCAGAGAGAGGGAGCACACAAACTCCGAGAGCGCAAGCGCTGCCGTCCCCCTGTCCTCCCTGCGGATCTCGGCGCGGCCCGCCCCTTCGCGGCACGCACGGCGCGGCCCCGGCGGGCGGGGAGAGAGAAAGAGAGAGAGAGAGAGAGGAGGGGGGGATACCCGGAGGGACGCATTGATCGGCGGCGGGCGAGTGGGGGAACGCTCTGGAACGGATTCGCCCTCGTCCTAGCTCCGTCCGGCAGTCCTCCCTGCCGCCGCCTTCGGTGGCAACTCATGGGAGTCTCCCGTGCCACATCTTGCAGGCTGACGCCAGTCGGCGTCAGTGGACGCCAGTCGACCCCGATCGGCGCTGGAACGACGCTAATCGACGCTGAATCGGCGCCATCGCATCGATAGCCAGGCTCGGCGGCGAGCGAGGGGGGGAAGTGAGAAGGAGAAGGCCTTCTTTCAGAAAACGGCGGGACTCTTCATAAACCCTCGCGCCATGTGAGACGTTTTTCCCATGTCTTCGGGGAAGGCTCAGGAAACTTCTCGGAATGCCGCGGGACTTCTGAGAAGGCCCGCCCATTCCCGCTTCCCCCCGAGGCTCGCCGCCGACAGACGCTAATCGACGCGAGTGCGGTCTCACGATGGAGCTGCGACTGCATACAAGGCTCCCACGGTTTGCCACCGCACCCGTCCGTGCGCCCGTTCCCCGCGGAGGAGCGGGAGACGCGCGGGGGGAGGGGGGGGCATCTGCCGAGAGCTTTCGTCGGGGCCGCCGGGTGCCTAGGTGCGGAAGGCCGACGGGCGGCAGACACCCTGTGCGTCGCATGGGCCCAGCCAGCACAGCCAGCCCGTGTGATGAGGATGCGCAGTAAGGGTGCAGAGGGCCTTGGAAGGCGGGCGGGGCGCGGCCGGCGAAAGCGGCCAAGGATGGGCGGAGGGGGGGAAGATGCAAGGGTGACCTTGGACTATCGCTCATCCGTACTGTGCGGGTTGACTGTGTTCAGCCTGCGCTGTCTCTGTACGCGCAGCGGACCGATGGTAGCGAACAAGGGATGACAATCGGTGGCACAAGCAATCAGGCAAGGCAGTGCACGATAATGTGCTGAGATGTCAATGCCACACGAGACGGTCTGTGCGATTCAAACGTGCAGAGGAGGAGAAATGCTAAGCGTAGGCATCCCAGTAAGGTCCAACCGACGCGCACTGTGTGACAGCAATTCTAGCCCATGCCCGAGAGCTGCCTAAAGGAAAAGAGCGCCACGCTTCTCTCTGCACATGAAGCGCTCGGAGCTCTAAGACTCTAAGACGGTGGAGGAGAGGGGAGGAGGTTGTGGAGGGTCTGGGGGAGGGGGGCGACGAGGATGGAGCACGGATATAATAAGAGGAGAAACAGAAGTTCCCCTTGAGCCGCCGTCGCGCCATTGATGCCTCTTGACGCGCAGGAGTCGCCGAGGGAACATGGCAACAACAGACAACAATTTCGAGGCGCGTGGCGTCCCGCCAGCGCCCCGTCGGGGCAGGGAACGCGTGGAAACCTCTGTTTGCAAACGTGGCTAAGGCGGACGCAACAAAAGAGACGTGTATGACAAACAACCACCCTGAAGTATGCGCTTGCACCCTGACGCATACGCTTGTTCCTCCTCTGCGGCGACGCACCGTCAGCCAGTGGACGAGCAGGTGGACGCTGCAAGCCCGACGCGCAATCGCAAGCGCGTCGGTCGGAGGCCACATCCTCCCGCGCGGAGTGGCAGGCAGAGGCGAGACCTGTAAGAATCTAAACGCCCACGCACGCACGCACACGTACACGCACTTACGCACGTGCACTTGTGTGCATCCTGGCCGGAGGCTGGTCCAGCAAAGCGAAAGACGAGCAACGCCACCAATGGGAATTGCCTCCAGGCGTTGTTGCTGGGGTGGCATTGAACGCCCGATGAAGAAACAGGGGGCCATGCACGGCCATGACACCGCCACCTAAAAACGGCGCGACAGGATGAAGCGACTGTACATCACTGTGGTAGGAAAAAGGCCACGACGGCGGCACGCACGCACAACCACACACACACACACACGAACGCACGCACGCGCGCACGCACACATGCAAATGGAGTGCAAGGAACGCTGAAACAGAACACAAAATACAACTCGATGAAACACGTGGGCACACACGACCGAACATCATCAGATAGTGTCCCGAGAAGACCCCAGGGAAGTCAATGAGATATCCCCAGAGACCGCCTCTAGATGCGCACCCCCAGTTTCCCGCACGATGGCCCGACGCCTCGGATACCACAGCGAGGACCGCACGGATTGAACAATTAATCTCCGTGAGAAGCAAGTGCTGGGCCACCAATCTGAAAGGGGGGCGATAGGAAGGGTTGGCACGATGCGAGCGACGCTGGCACAGGCAGCCCAGAGGAGGAGGAGGAAGGGGAAGGGGGGGAGGGGGAGGCGGGTGGGAGCGGGGACCGTAGTCCTTTGTGACAGCCGTGTTCGTGTCTGCGGCCATGGGGCTGCCGTGGTGGTCGCGGTGGTGCCCACCCCTGCCGGCAGGCGGGTGCTGGACCTGCAGTGCTAGTGGTGGTCTCGCTGGTTGGGCACCGCGGCCGTGGCCGCGGCAGTGGCCCATGACCCCCAAGCAGTACGAGCGCCGGGGCCTCAGGTGAAAACCGCTTGGCGGTGGAAGGCGGCTGCTGACTTCTAATTCCCCATCGCGCTCAGTATCATCTACGGACTCCTTTGCTGGAGGGTGCGGCAGATGTCACCCCAGATGCTGCCAAGGCGCGCTGGGCGCCGCTCTCTCGTTCAGATACACCGCAACCAAATAACTACCTGTCCTGAGATGCGCTCTTGCCAGAGTCTCGGTGCGGATCCAACCGTGGCCACGAGGGCCTCCCGGGAGGCCTCTCGTCCTCCTCGTCTTCCTCCTCCACCCCCGCCTGTTCGTCAACCCGCTCAAGACTCGCGCTGCCCCCGTTGTGCTTATCTCCCACTCCTTCCTCCATCTCCTAATCCCCCACCCGAGCGCTGGTGGGGACGTCCTCCTCGTGGAACGTGAGCCCCTTGGCGAGCCCTGCCCGACAGGGGTACTGCTAGGCGACTCACCCGGCGCAAAGACCGCCGCCGCCGCCCCCTCCTCAACTCATCAATACGCCCACTATGTGGGGCCTGACGGGAGGAGGTCCGAAGGTCCGATGTGAACCCGCGACGTCTGCGATGCATCGGCGACGTCGACGTCTGAGGATAAGATTCGGCTTCCACCTCGAGCCGTATTAGAAACATGGGCGACACCAGCACCACCGGAAGAGGAAATGCGGGGAGCAAGGGGGGTCTCTGGGAGACATCCCCAGCAATCCTCAGATCGAGAAGGCCTCGTGAACCTCCTCGCTGGAGGTGGCCCCCCTGATGGTGTCAGTGTCGCTTCTCCGACGTCTCGCGCGAGCGGGCGCGCGCGCCGCCGGGCGGGCGGGCGAGCGCGCGGGCGGGCGAGCGCGCGGGCGGGCGTCATTGTCGTCGTCGTCGTCGTCGTCGTCGTCGTCGTCGTGTCAGTGTCCTCGTCATTGTCGTCGTCGGCGATGCCGCCCTCGTGGTCTCCGCCGCGTCGCCGATGCCTCGGCGCTGCGGCGCGGTCCTCCGACCCCCCCCCCAGCAGGCCAGACGCGGGCGGGCGGCCGGCCGGCCCGGGCCGCCCCGGGGCGGGTGGGCCCCCCCCCTTGGGAGCCCACAAAGGACGTACGCGCCCAGCTATGTACATGAACACGGCCCCTTGACCCGCGAGACCTGCCGCTCGATACGAACATTCGCGCAGTGCAAACTCTCGAAACCAGCGTGGATTCATGTACATGTACGTCCTTCTTTCGCTCCTGACCCCCCCTCTCCCGGCGCGGGCCTTCACCGCGGGGCCGCGGCCCGCGGGGACCAGCGTCGCCAGGCCGATGCCCAGGAGAACCTCTCACGAGGCACGGGGCGGCCCGGGTCGGGGAGCGACGGCCGAGGACCGTCTCGCAGGCCCAGAGATTGACACCGACACCAATCTCGGCGGTGTGCCTCCACCGGGGGAAGAAGATCCCGATCTCGGTGGTGGTGGTAAAATTCTGGCTTCCAAGGTGGCCGAACTATTACCACCGACACCGAAGATCTAGGATCAGCTTCCCCCTGTGGAGGCAACCCTCTGTCTTGGTGTTGGTGCCAATTTCCAGGCCTCCGAGACTGGGCGTCTCTGGTGCGCTGGAAATGTTGGCCGGATCAAGGGTTGTCGTCGCCGGGGCTGGACCACCCGCGAAGACTTGGCGAGAGCGCGCCCCTGGAGAGACGTCCAGAGGGGGCGACTTGTGGGGAAGCCAAAGAAGAGCAGCGCGCAGACCTCTGAGGACTCGGAAAGCTCAGGCTGGATGGAACTTGTTGTCGTTGGTTTCGAATTTCGGGGCCTCCTTCAAACACTATGCACCGTCTAAGAAGGTATGGGATGAAACACCTGCCCCGCGGAAAATGTCAGGAGGCTCGGGGGCGAACGACCCGAGTAAAACGAATTGTCGGACGTCTTGGAACCAAGGAAAAGGCAACAATCACCGTAGTTGATGGGACGGGGATGGCAATGTGATGACGAGGGAAGATGGGGGGAGCAATTGAGAAAGAAATGTTTGCTAGAAGCAGTTTACAGCACAACTATCTGAAAGCAGGGCTTGAGACCAGGAAAAGGAAAGACGGATCAGCCGCTCCCAGAAACAAAAAGGTAAATAACGCTGGCAACACTATGCCGCAATGTCTCCCGCGTCGACTGGGTCAGAACCCCAGCAGCTGACGCCGCACCTGGGTGGCAGTTTTTCCTGAGTCGCATTGAAAACGCGAGCTGTGCCTTGACCAGGTATTGGCATCCCAAGCGCATAGCTTCACACTCCGACGGGAGAATGCGAACGCCGACAAACGCAATTCCCCACAAACCCCCGTCCACACATTCCACGTCGTCAAAACCAGGCGACCCAAATTAGACTGGCGAGCGGCCCAACCATATGCAGTTGTGAATGCCGCAATTGTGAATATCGTCCTCGGTGGCGCCCCCTGTGGGACCACGAACCGCGCGAGGGGCGCGCCGCAACATGCGGCGGGAAGCACGACGCGAACGAAGACGACAGTCATGATTACGAGAAACTGAACGCGGGTGCGTCCGAACGCGAATGAATATGATTGTGAATGAATGTGCGCGAAAATGACTCCACACGTGTCGGCGTGCCCCTTCACGAGGATCGCGCCACCTTCCTTCCCTTTACGATCCCTCCATGCCAGCGCGCGCCAATGTCCAAGGCTGCGGGCGCAGCGCAGCGCAGAATCCCCGCGACGCGCGCACGTCGCCCCGAAAGGATCCCAGCGACGCGCGCGGGTCGTCCGGTGCGCGGAGCAAAGAGAGCTAGCTGGCTGGCTGATAGCGGGCAAGGATCTGGCCGCTGGGCAGAGCGACGACAAGCGAGCGAGGCGCTGGGCAGAGCACGGCACGGAGATCCCGCGACGCGCGCTGGTTTCCCTGAAAGGGTCCTAGCGACGCGCGCGGGACGTCCGCGGCGCGGGGCCAAACAGTCAGACCGTCGAGCGGAGGCGATGCTCGGACGGGCGCCTCGTGCGCACCGCAAACTGCTCCAGCTGCGTCCGCAAGCTCTTGTTTCCGCAAGTTCCCGCGAAACGTGTGACGGGTGTGCCGGATGGGGTGCGAGTGCGCCATGCGGACCCTGCCTCTGTGGCATTCGCTGGAGTTCCCTATGAGGCAACGGCCCGTGTGAGAGGCGTGACGAATCGGGCGGGGCACGCCATGCGGACCCTCCCGCTGGGGCCTTCGGTCGAGATCCCTACGAAGCCACGAAAAATTTGAGATGTGTGCCCAATCGGGGGCGGGTACGCCATGCGGACCCTACCGCTGAACCATCGGTGGAGTTTTCTAATGGGCTACGAAACGTGTGAGTGGTGTGCTGAACCGGGTGCGGGTACGCCATGCGGACCCTCCAGGTGGGGCCTTCGGAGGAGCTCCCTATGGGGCCACCAAACGTATGAGGGTTGTGCCAGATCGGGTGCGGGTACGCCATGCGGGCCCTGCCGCTGAGGCCTCGGCGGAGCACCCTAGGGGCCACGAAACATGTGGGGTGTGTGCCGAATCGGGCGAAGGTACGCCATGCGGACCCTCCCGCTGGGGCCTTCAGGGGAACCCCCATATGGGGCCACGAAAAATGTGAAGGGTGTGCCGAAGCGGGTGCGGGTCCGCCATGCGGACCCTACCGCTGGGGCCTTCGGTGGAGCCCCCCATGGGGCCACGAAACCTGTCAGGTGTGTGCCGAATCGGGTGCGGGTACGCCATGAGGACCCTGCCGCTGGGGCTTTCGGTGGCCCTTATGGGGCCACGAAACGTGTGAGGGTGTACCGAAACGCGTGCGGGTACGCCATGCGGGCCCTGCCGCTGGGGCCTGCGTTTGTTGTAGGCTTTTGTCTCCTCCCCCACTTCCCATATTTTCCCATACTTTCTCGGGAATCGACGATTAGCGCCCCGCGCGCAAGCGACGCGGCGGGCGCCGCGCGCCCTGTAGGGCTCTCTGGCGGAGACTCGGCGCGGGCTCCCGCGCAGAGGCTCCCGCGGCGAGAGGAGCATCACCATCCTGGCATGGACGCACGCCGTCCCTTGCGGGAAGCGGTGGCACACACACACACACACACACACACACACACACGCACACGCACACGCACACGCACACGCACACGCACACGCACACGCACGCACGCACGCACGCAGGCACGCATGCACGCACGCACGCACGCACGCACTCACGCGCACGCACACTCTTGAGCGATCTCGGCCTCGCGCGCCAAAAACACGCACATACTCACGCACACACTAACACACACAAACACAAACACACACACACACGACGCACACACACACACACGAGCACACACACACACACACACCGCACGCACTAACACACACAAACAAAAACACACACATACGCACACGCACACGCACACGCACACGCACACACACACACATCAACGACGCTGCGGAGTCTGGGCGTGAGGAGCCTGCCCCTCCACGCGCAGCTCGAGCGGCGCCTCGAGGCGGTAGGTGCCCGGCGACAGCACCACGTGCAGCCCCTCGGGCGGAGGCGAGGGGCCCCCCCCATCCTTCTCCCCCTCCCCCTCCCTCCTCTCCCTCCTCCTCCTCCTCCCCTCCTCCTCCTCCTCCTCCTCCTCCTCTCCCTCCTCCTCCTCCTCCTCCTCCGCCTTCTCCTCGGGACCTCCTCAGAATTAGCTCTGAAACGACTTCTACAAAGCTGTCCCTCCTGCAAAGAACAGTGCTCCCGCTCGTCCCTAATTACCTCAACCCCCAGACGACCTTACAGAGAGGACCCCCATTGAGGAAGGCGGATCTCGCTCACGACTTACTCGCAAGTCATTCAAATCGATGCAAGCCCGGATGCGAGGACAACGGCTTCCGCTGGATACCTCCTCTCCAAAAAATGCCGAGACGCCCAGGCAAGAGAGGCCACGACACTGAGGAACGGCGCTCTCGCCGAAGAGAATTCACCGGTCCAACGGGCCAGAGGCGTGCTAAGATCTCCGGTAACTGCTAAATAATACTCCTACTTCGCGCGCGCGGGGCAGCCCCTGGGGGTCCCCGGACGAAAAGTATCCCGGGCGATCCCCGGCAGGGTCGGGTCAGAGATGGTTTTCCTCCTGGGCGCCGCCCCCGTGGCCCTCCAAGGAGCCCTAAGAAGGGCCACGAGGCCGCCAAGAGCCCTCCAAGATGGTTCAAGAGTGCTCCGAGATGCCACACGATCGTTCCAAGACGGCCAAGATGGCCCCCAGACGCCCCAAGAGGCCTCCAAGAGCACTCCCCAGAGGGCCCCAAGAGGCAAAATTCATTACTTTTCCTTAGGTTTTGGGCAGATTTTGGCGTGTCCACCTTTTCGGCTTCCCGACGCCCCAAGACGGCCCAAGAGGCCCCCAAGATCGCCCCAAGAGGGCCCAAGAAGCTCCCAAGAAGGCCCCAAGATGGCCCAAGAGGGCTCCAAGACGGCCCCAGAGGCATCCAAGACGGCCCAAGAGGGGCCCAAGAGGGCCCCAAGCGATGCCCCAAAGGGGGAACACAAAACAAAACTTCGAGCCCTCGGCCTTAAGAAGCCCCCAGGAGGCCTCAAGAGGCCCCTGAGAGGCCCCAAAAAGCCCCCAAGAGGCCCTCAGGAGGCCCCCAAGCGACGCTGAAGAGGCCCCCCAGCGGCCCCAAGAGGCTCAGTCATGCGAAATGGGCCGGCGGAATGAGCGAAGCGATTGAATAATACGCAATTCAACACAGTGCATGAGTTGACCGCGGGCGCATTAGCACGTTACGGGCATGGAGGCGCGGTGAGCAGGGAAAGTGCACTGTTGAATAGACCACTAAAAGAACCATCTCCCTAAAAGAAGCAAACTCGACTCAACGGGCGGGTACAAGAGAGAGGGAGAATCAAATGAAGGTCAAGCCGCTGTGGGGATCACATGTTCGCAAGTTGAGCGTCGTCGATGTCGTTGTCGGTCGATCGGCCAGATTGTCGGTCTATCAACGCGTCGGTCTGTCGGTCGTTCGTCGGTCGGCCAGTCCATCGTCGTCGTCATCGTCATCTGGGCACCAAGACGGAAATCAGTCGGCCTGCGGAAGCATGCACATACAGCTCAGGTGGACAGGGGGAGGCAGCAAACACAATGACGAAGCTCTCCTTCCTCAGCTGCTCGTTGATGGCTTCGGTGGAGTCCGTGTCCCTGGCGACGAACACGTTCTCGAAGCTGAACCTCGAAACACACGGTCAACCCGTGCAAGAAGGACGCACAAGAAAAAAAGCAGGGGCCTGGGAAGGCCATGCCGACACCCTTCCGGCGGGGCTCTGCCAGCAAACACGGCCAAGGAGGGGCCAAGAAGGGAAGGATGTAACAGCTTGCTAGTCGGACCTGGGACAGAAGAACACCCTCGAGAACATCAGACGGCCCCACGGTGTTAAAATTATTAAATTGCCCGAGGTGTTTCAAGGATTGTGGCTTTTGCTCCTTTTTAGCTCTCCAACAAACCAAGGCGGCCCACGCGACCCCGAACATCGCCCCAAGAGCACCCAAGAGGCCTCCAAGATGGCCCAATGACAGCCCAAGAGGCCCCCAAGAGGGCCCCAAGAAGGCCCCAAGACGGCCCAAGAAGCCCCCAAGACGCCCAAGATGGCCTCCAAGACGGCCAATATGGCCTCCAAGATGCCTCCAAGACGGCCAAGCAGGCCCGCAAGACGGCTAAGATTGCCCGAAGATGCACCCAAGTCGGCCCAAGATGGCCTGAAGATGACCTTAGACTGCCCAAAAGGCCCGCCAGAGGCCTCCTAGACGGCCCAAGACCCCTCCAAGACGTCCTCCAGGAGGCCCGAAAGCTCGGAAACCATCAGGTCCGATAGCTCGCCCGACTCCGTGTTCCCCGAATGCTTTCGGAACCCACTCGGGGAACGCGTGGCCCGATAGCTTGACCAAGCTCAAACCCAACGTTCGGCCACCCAGGCGTTTCCAAAAAGGCAGGGGGCGGCGGTGATTCGCCGTAGGCGTCATCGATACCAGCATGACCTGCGGGCCCCATAGTGAAGTGGCTCCTTCTTCAGACTCCCTGCTAACATGACCTGCGGGCCCCTGAGGGGGGGTGGTCCCGCTGGAGACGTCCTCGTAATTCACTCACGAACAAGCTTCCGTTCGAGACATCCTCTCAGTTAGCCCCCCATACTAAGATGATATGCGGGCCCCCCATAGGGAGGGGTGTCACGCCTGACACTTACGCATACGTCACTCACAGACGAGTCTCCCGCTCGAGACACCCTCGTGGGTTGCCCCTTGGGTGTTGAAGTGTTATATCTGTTGAAGTAGGCCAATGATCCGCTCGGATTACTAATACGATCTGCGGGCCCCAAAGAAACGTGGCCCCCCCAATCCGATTCACTCACAGACGAGGTCACGCTCGAGACCTCCTCATCATGGGATCTCCACGCGCGTTTTAGTCCATGCCTGCAGTTCCTCGAGTGCAGGGGGGGGGCGGCATCCTGGCCTAGAGGTGAGGGCTCCCCTTCTGTGGAATGTGATGGGGGCCTCACATGTCATCTTGCTGGCTCTTGCGAATCGACGCTCGTCGACGTTCATCGACGCGAGCCGACGCTATCTCGACGTCAATTCAAGCTGAAGAGGTGCTTTCTCATCGACTACCAGACGCTAAGAGGTTGAACAAAAATAACATCGCCAGTTGAGCAGGGAACGACCGACCCAGCATTCCTATAGGCCTACTGCGAATTATTCTTAGAACCAATGACCGTTCTAACAACAACCACCGTGATTTCAGAACACAGAGCCGACGTGGAAAGCCAGACGGCCTGAGTCAAAAGCGTTCTGCGAACATGTCGTGCAACAAACGATGTGGTGGGCCTATCGTCGGCGGCGCGCCTGCGGTGAAGTGAGAATGAGCGGGCCTTCTCAGAAGGCTCGGGAGACCCCCGGCCGTCTGAGAAGCTCCCGAAGCCTCCCCCCGAAGAATGCAGAACACTTCTCCGAGGGCTCGAGAGCCTCGGGGAAGTCCCGCCGCCTGCCGAGGAGGCCTCCTCCTTCTCCCTTCCCCCCCTGGACGCGCCGCCGAGTTCTGGTCATGATTAATCGGTCCCCGGGCCTCTCCAGGGGTCCATCCGACGGGGTTCTCCAACCCAAATCGGGTTTCGGGGATCCTGGGGCCCGAGCACGGCTCCCAGAGACGGAACCCAGGAAACCACGCCCCGAACCTCGGACCTCGAGCCCCGAGCCTCGAACATCGGACCCCTCCTCATTTCCCCTGCTCGCTCCCCGCCGATATAGACAAGCCAGCACGCGCCTCGCCACTGCTTTTTAAGGGCGGGCTCGCCCTCGCCCTCGAACCCTCCGCCGCCTCCGCGCGCCCCGACCCCAGCACGCGGGGGGGGGGTCACGCCCGGCCCCGCAACCCACCCCGCCGACGCCGACGCCGACGCCGACGCCGACGCCGACGCCGACGCCGACCGACGACGCCGACGCCGCGGCCGAAGACGACGACGACGACAACGACGACGACGACGACGAAGGCGACGCCGACGACGGCGACGGCGACGGCGACGACGACGACGACGACGACGACCTCGACAGCGTCGGCGACGCCGACGGCCCTCCCCGCGCGGGGGGGGGCCTCCTCCCCGGGCTCCAGTCGGTGCCCGCGCGGCCGCGCTTGACCTGGGGGACGTTCAGGTGGTACCTGCGGTTCGGCGGCGAGCGAGGGGGGGAAGCGACAAAGAAAGGCGGACCTTCTCTCAGAACGCTCAGAAGCCCAACGGCCGTCCGTGAAGCTGCCTGGGCCTTCCCCGAAGACACGAAAGACGTGTCGCAAGGCCAAAAGGGCGTCGAGAAGCCCTGCTGTCTTCTGAGAGGGCCTTCTCCTTCTCGCTTCCCCCCCTCTCGCTCGCCGCCGAGCGGTGGAATCAGTTGCAAAAAACGGCATACGCCTTAAACTCTTGGGAGGATGAAAACGATGCAGGTCCAGCGCTCTTGGCCCTCCTCCTAGCCCCCCCTCGTCCGCCAGAAAAAACAAAGGAGGAGGAGGGAGGAGGAGGGCGAAGAGAGCCGGATGTGTAATTACTGTTTCCCTCCTAGACCCCTCGTCCTCCAGAAAAAAAAAAGGAGGGAGGGAGGAGGAGGGCGATGAGAGCCGGATGTGTACTGCTTCCCGCCTCCCGACTCTCGGAGCCCCGCGCGGCTCTCCTGGATCGGCGCTGGGCCCCCCCCTCCCTGTCCGAGCGGAGCGCGCCAGGATCTGCGCGGAGCTCCGAAAATGATGTTCCCGCACATGCTTCTCTTTCGAATGAGGGGGAACGCTTTGTGGGCCCCGGAAACGGCAGGGCCGTTTCTTCACCGTTTCCCAAAACATGTCCCTTGAAAGAGGAAACGGCAAAAAACGGCGACTGGAAACGGCAAAACAGGGGCTCCAGGATTGCAACCAAAGCCGGAACAGGTCAAAAAACGGCGACGGAACCGGTAAAAAAAAAGGGCGTCGGAACTGGCAAACAAAACGGCAAAACGGAACCGGTAACAAAAACGGCCTCGTTTCCAGGGCCCACTGAGGGGGAACGTCAGGGGGGGGCCGGCTCAAGGGCAGGCAGGCGAGCCCAGAATCGCATCGGCAAGTCGGATCGGCGCTCGAAATGCATCGCATCGGCGGGAATCGGCAGCCGCGTCGGGAGAAGTCGAATCGGCGGAAAGCGGCAGGCTCGCAGGGCTCCGTGGAGAGACATCGGAGCCCGAAGCAGAAGCGCAAGCGGTGTCGAATCGGAATCGGAATCCATCGGCATCGAATCGAATCGAGCCGGGGGAATCGAAGCGAGCCCTGCAGGGGGGGAAAGCAGCATCTATAGCTGGAATCGGAGACACGCCGCCGACAGACCGGCGAATGGGGCCCCCGACGGCGACTCCGCAGCGCTCCTGGGCGGATGGGGGCTACTGGGGCCCCCATGGGCGACGAGTGGGCGATGGGGGGTCGATGCGCCCCCCCTGGGCCTACCCCCATCCCCCCCCCCCTGGGCATACAGCAGGAGCGCGACCACAAGGAACCTTCCACGAGAAACCCAACCCCGAGACCCCAGGACGTGCCTAGATTGAAGGTGTGGGCACGTCACGCTTTCCCTCGCAAAACACAATCGAAGCCCAAGAAACCCAGGGCACCCCGGAGGCAAGCAGGGTGCCTCTTGGCACCCTATCCCCAGGGTGCCTCTTGGCACCCTATCCCCCCCCGGAACCATCCTTAAGTAAGGCTTGTCTACCTACAGGCGGATTTTGGGAAAAGAATCAGGCATATCCAAAACAGATTCCCAAACAGTCAATAGAGTCAACAAATCGTCCCCTGCCTATTTTGTTCGTACGTTTGAATATTCCTCCTGTAGAGGGACATGCCCGCCCGACGACTTAAGCCTATCCCCCCCCCGAGGGGCCCGTTCGCCCCCTCCTATACCATTGCCCCAACCCGCGGGTCGCCGCGGCGCGGGCCGCCTCCCCGGCGGAGTGCCCGCGGCGCGGGCGTTCCCCGGGGCGTGCGCCGAGGAGGGGAGCCAGGAAGCACAGGGAGGGGGCGGGGGAGGAGCGCAGCAGGATTGCCGCTGGCACGGGGGAGCGCCGCAGGGTCCGAGGCGTGTGCGCCGACGACGGGGGGGGGGGGCGGAGGACGCGCCGAGACGAAGGGGCCCAGGGGCACGGGGTCCCCCCCCGAAATCTGCACTGTGCTTTTTCTTGGTGTTCGTCGCCCCCGCACTGCCCATGTGCTCCCACGTGCCCCCAGGAATCTAAAGGGGCCCCAGAACACACAAATAAATACACACAAATAAAAATATGCCTCATATTTTCATATATTTTCTGGGTTTTTGTCTTCCCCCCCACTTCCCATATTTTTGCATATTTTCCTGGGAGTCGACAATTAATTGTGTCTGTGTGTTTTTTTCCCTCCTGAGAATCGGCACTCACTCGTGTCTGTGTGCTCTTCCCGGCCGACGAGCGAGGGAGGTCCGGGCGTGCTGGCGCCGTGCCACACATCGGGGCGGGCGGCTCCTGCAGACCCTTCGGCCTCACGGGCGGCCTCGCCAGGCCCCGGGGCAATTCGGGAACGGCTCGCGACGAAAAACCGAGCGTTGGGGAGGGGGTCGACACCGCACTGGAAAACTCCATAACAGGGGATATGTCGACCCCTATCCCAGGCTTCGTGGGGTTTCCGAATGGACCAGAAATTTGGGGCCTAACCCTGGGATATACGATGGGGGGGTGTCCATTCTCGATAGGGGTGCGTCCGAATAGCCCCCTTGGGGTGTATCCCAAGATTCCTCCCCTTTTCTGAGCGACCAAACTTTTCTGGCGGAAGTCGGGGATTGGGGGAGAGAAATCGCCTGCGACTGGAAAACTCCAGGCATCGCATGTCTAAGGATAGGGCCGTGAAGAGTAGTGGAAACCATGGGCCGGTCATCACATGATCAGCATTACGGAACCCCTCATATGTTGGTAGCGGACCTCAGCTGAGAGGCCCTAAACATCAGGGATATAGGGGTCGTTCTGAAGATGGACCGAACCAAATCAACCAGATCCCTGATGCAACGACGGGGACGTAACCTAGACTACAACTGCATTACATTCTTAGGGTTAGGGTTTTCCGATGGTGAGACCCACCCACCAATCTAGTCATCGCATCGCCCCCCTCGTGGACGCCCGCCGCGTGCTGCCGCCAGCGCCTCCCGAGAGCCCGGAACGCCTCGCGGGCATGCTGCACGGACTACTACGATCATGCGGTCGCCGCGTCTGGACGCATCAAAGACGGGCTCAGCCGCAGCAGCCTCTTGTGCATCAAGAGGCTCGACGCGCAGGCCGCAGGTGAGGACAGGGGCGAAGAGCCCCTCCCCCCCCTGCCGTCGGCACACATCCTGGGGTCTGCAGGGCCAGGGCAGGTGGCTCGGCACAGGCCGGGCAAGAGAGGCAGGCGGAGCTAGAGGGAGACCGAGAGGGAGAGGAGCGGACGAGGAGAGGAATCGAGTGGAGGACGAACACTGGAAACGATTGAGGAATTCAGAGGAACCCGAACGTATGACACGTTGCCCTCGCTCGGGCGCCCATTCCCGCGCGTGCGATGATCTCCCGATGACCCAAAGGTGCTCCGCAATGGGACACATGCTCTGGTGCTGGCCTCGCCGAACAAAAATGCACACCTCCAAGAACTGATGCCAGGACCCGCTGGGCACCCGTCCGCTCACCCAGCTGCGCGCGCTGCTTCGCGCCACCGGCGGGCGACCTCATCGGCCGTCCACGCTGTCGTCGTCTCCACCGATGCCGCCGCCGCAGCCGTCGGCGCCGCCGCCATTGTCGTCGTCGTCGTCGTCGTCGTCATCGACAGCGTCGTCGTGGTCGCCACCTTCGCCGACAGAAAGGGGGGGCGGGCGCTTTCCGGCCGCGTCCACAGAGATGAACGGCTTCTCCGCCACCACGGGGGTCTCCTGCCGAACGGCCGCGTCACGGCGGAGCCCCGCCGCATCGCATTGGCAATCTGGCAACCTGCCTAACTAGCTGGTCGGCTGGTCGTACGATGTAGCAAGCGATGCAACTACCCATGTGGATGGCTCGTTCGTAATGCTCACTCGACGCGCGTACATATGAGACTACTCTTTGGGGGATGAAAGAATGTGGGGCTAGGTACAACTTCCAGTTTTCACTTGCTCTCAGAACGTCTTCGCGATCTATACATGTGTATATTTATATATGTATATATAAATATACATATATATATATATATATATATGTATATATATATATATGTGTGTCCGAAGCCGTTCTCGAGACGCGAAGTGGAGTTAACCCCAGGCTCTCATGTGTTCTCTGTTCTCTCTACTCGGGTCTCTGTGGTTATCGCATTCTCAGGATATGGGGCAACAATATCTCAAAATTCCTGGGCGCTCCCGAGCGCTCCTGGGCTGCCTCGCGTGACTTTTCCAGAGGCCAGAGGGCCTAAGTCGGGCCAAGAGGTTGCCAGAAAGCGCCCAAGAGGGTCCAAGAGACCTCCAAGACAGCCCAAGAGCGCTCCAAGACGCCCAAGATGGCACAAAGACAACCCCGAAGCGCGCTCCAAGAGGACCTCCAAGAGGGCTCAAACAGGCAAACATCATAGATCGTCCTTGTGTGCTTTGATGAGTTTCGCGATCTTGCGTGTTCGGGCGTCCGACGCTCCAAGATGGCTTCAGAGTCCCCTAAGACCGCCCCAAGGCGGCCCAAGAGGCGCCCAAGAGGGCCCAGAAGGAATTAAAATGAGCCCGCCCGCGGCGCCGCCGACCGAGCATCCTCGACGGTCGCGGTGCTGGCCTGCTCCGCTGTGGCCTCCTATTTTGGCTATCTGGGAGGCCCCACTTCACCTGGTTCCTCGTTCCTGCTGGCATGAGCTCCCCGTGGAAGATGCCTCCCCCATTCCACATCCTCCTCCTCCTCCGCCTGCTCCTCCTCCTCCACCTCCTCCTCCGCTTCCCCATCCTCGTCCTCCTCCCACTCGATCCTCCTCCTCATCCCCCTCCCCCCTTCCCCTCCTCGTCCTCCTCCAGCTCCCCTTCCCCCTCCCCCTCCCCCTTCCACTCCTCGTCCCTCCCCCCTCGATCCTCCTCCACTCTCCTTTTTCGTTCGTCGTTCTCCTCTTCTTCGTCGCTCCTTCTCTTCTCCTCCTCCTCCCTCCTCCTCCCTCTCCTCCTCCGCTCCCTCCTAACTCCCCTCTCCTCCCTTCCTCCTCCTCTCCCTCTCCTCTCCTCCTCCCCCTCTTTCTTGTTCCTTTCCCTCCTCCTCCTCCTCCGCCTCCTCCTCCTCCCTCTCCTCGTCCTCCTCCCCCTCGATCCTCCTCCTCCTCCTCCTCGTCCTCCTCCTCCTCCTCCTCCCTCCTCTTCCGCGTCCTCGACGGTCACGGTGCTGGCCTTCTCGTCAGTGCGCCGGCACTGCTCGGCGGGCGCGCCCTGGCGGGACAGGCGCGGTTGCGTCGAGCGGCGCCGGACGGCGGCGCCTCCGCCCCGCGCGCCTCCCCGCCGCCGCGCCGCCGCCGAGCCACCGTCTCGCTGCTCCTCCCGGCGCCTCCACTTAGGGCCCTTCACTCCTCCTCCTCCTCGTTCTCCTCCTCTTCCTCCTCCTCCATCCTCCAACCCCTCCTCCTCCTCTTCCTCCTCCGCCACCTTTCCTCCTCCTCCTCCTTTCGTCCTCTCCTCCTTCTACTCCTGCTTCCGCTGTTCTCTCGCAACCTCCTCTCCAAAATTCTTCCTCCTCCTCCCCTCCTCCTCCTCCTCTCCTCCTTCTCTCCTCTCCTCCTCTCATCATTCTCCTCCTCCTACTACTACAACTTACATTATACTATATTCTACTACTACTCCCACTACTACCACTTACGGCTCAGATGCTACTCCTGCTCCTCCTGGCAACTCTAGTTACTACTACGACAACTACTTGACTATACTACTACTACTACTACTACTACTTACTACTATATACTACTAACTACTATACTGACGGGCTACTATCTTACTACTACTACTACTACTACTACTACTAGACTACTACTTACTACTAGGACTTAATTTCTACTACTACTAACTACTACTACGACCTATGCTGCTTCTACTACTACTACCTATTATATTTATTACTACTCCTATCCTTACTACTACTACTACTTAATTTCTCTCGTCTTTATACTACGTCATAACTTACTACAAAATTGCTACCGCTACAGCTAATGTTCTGTTACTGCTAAATGCTCCTACTTATATACTTACTCACTACTACTAAATATCTTACTACCTACGACTATGGGACTTAATACTATTTACTACTGATACTACTAATACTCACTATTATTTCTACTAACTCCTCCTACTATACTACTACTAAATACTTACTACTACGACTACTTAGACTACCTAACTACTACGATACTATACTACTACTACTCTCAGGTACTACTACTTTACTACTACTAGGATACTTACCACTACTACTACTATACTACTACTACTACCACTACTACTACTACTTACTACTACTTCCTACTACTACCTACTTATACTTACTACTACTACTACAAATATTGCTACCGCTACAGCTACTGATTCTGCTACTGCTACTGCTACTACTACTACTACTACTACTACTACCACTACTGCTACTACAACTACTACTACGACTCCTACTACGACGACTACTAGTATTACTGCGACTACTACTATTACTATTATTACTACTACTACTACTACTGCTACTCATATCACGACTACCACTACGACTACTACGACTACGGCTACTACTACTACTACTACTACTACTACTACTACTATAACAACAACTACTCCTACGACTGATGCTACTACTACTACTACTACTACTACCACTACTACTACTACGGAACATCATACTACTAATGTGTTATTTACTACTGGTACTAGTACTAGTACTAGTACTAGTACTACTACTACTACTACTACTACTACTACTACTACTGCTACTTCCAGTGTTTCTACTACTATTACTAATACGACTACTACTGCTACGACTACTGCTACTACTGCAACGACTACGACTTCTACTACCACCACCACTACAACTACTACTACGACTACTAGTATTACTACTACTACTACGACTACTACTACTTTTGGTAGTAGTAGTAATACTACTACTATTATTTCTACTATTACGAATAACAGACCTACTACTACCAATGTGACTACTTCTTCCATTACGACAACTACTACTACTACTACTACTACTACTACTACGACTACTCCTACTACGACTACTACCACCGCTACTACTCCTACTAATACGTCAAGTACGGCCACTACTACTACTCCTAAGACAACTATTGCTACGGCTACTAATAATACAACTACAAATACGGCATGTACGGCAACTGCGGCTACGACGACGACTATTACAACAACATCGAAAACTACGACTACTATTCTTACGACTACTACTACTACTGCTACTCGTACTTCCTAGTACTACGACTACTACTACTACTACTACTACGACTACGACTACCACTACTACCACTGCTACTACTACTACTACTACTACTACTACTACAAATACTACTACTACTAC